TTTATGTCGTAGTGAAGGGGATGATCCCAGAACGTTCCAATGTAAACACGAGAAACTTCGGGAGTTTTGAAAACCTAAATTAAAGTGATGTACCGGTTGTACACTAGCAACCTCCTAATTGTCCATTTCTGTTTTTACTCCATTTTGTACACTCTTTCTTTGCAGTAATGGAGCCATTAATTTTTTTAGACGTCTATTCCAAGACGAACAGCATGACTTGTTCCAAGATCTGCAAGCACTTCCTCGCAACGCTGCACTTCGCAAGCTCAATGATCTTATAAAACGAGCTCGTCTAGCGAAGGTTAGTATTGTTTCAGACTGTTTTTGTCATAATGTGGCGTTAACTCTCAGTGAAAAAACTGCTTTCTTGAAGGTTCACGCGTACATAATTTCCGAATTACGTAAACAAATGCCAAGTATGATTGGCAAGGAAAAGAAGAAGAAGGAACTAATACAGAATTTGGACAAGATATTTGAACAGCTTCAGGTGTGCTGGGGTTGCCCGTTTTTGTAAATTTTTCTTTTCAATTTTTGCAACTCGTTTTATATCTTGAAAGCAAGAATTTCAGCGAGAGCACAATATATCACCTGGAGATTTCCCTGATGTGAACAAAATGCGTGATAGGCTGCAAACACACGATTTCACACGATTCAATCCAATTAAACCGAAATTGCTTGAAATAGTTGACGGCATGCTTGCTACTGATATTGGTGAGATTTTTAACTTTTTTTTCATTTTAGGATTCATTATAGCACTCGTGAGCATTGTCTGGGCACTCATAGAGTGTATCGCTCGCTATCGCTGATAATACTCTTCGAAATGAGCGAATCAGTCGCACGATCCAAGGAGCCGCTTATTGAACAACTGGTACTACCAGCGGCCTCAAACTGGTTGGTGCCCTCCCTAAATCGCGCTACTGCGACCAACCGTACTCCATTGCTGGATCGCGTAAAACAGCCTTCAGACTTCCCGAAAACACGCTATCATAACAACATCTCCAACGCTACAGAAGAAAGTGCAGCTATGGACCAGTATCGATCGACGCTGATTTCTAGTGTTTCGAGAGAGCATAGGAGAACAGGAGGGTACGATACCTAATCTCACAGTCTGGTACCCTCCTATTTTTCTGTAATCTCTCAACATCTGGCGCACGACATTGATCGATACTGCTACCAAACCGCTGCCTAAACACTCGATGCGGTTGCTAGTTAGGTTGCAGTTAAAGTACGTAATTATTGGAAACTTTTTCGAGTGTATTCTTCGGTTATTGAAGGAATCTGGGAGAGATGTTTTTTCGCGATTGTTGATTCTCCGTTTCGCGCGCGTTGTGCACCCCTTCCCCGCGCCAGGGCGGTTTTGAGGAGATCACTGTAAATCAGAGGATACCAAGGAACTAGAGTGATGGTAGGGGGTCGCGGTTATATCATCCATCTCGGTTGCGCACTCCGGTTACAGCGTATCGACAATTAGCGGTAGAGTACGGTCGATTTCAGTCATACATTTCCCAAAGCTGAACCGCTCGATATTCGCCAAGTATGAGAGCGACCTTATCCATGGAAATGAATACATTTTTTGAACCAGCGTACCAGTTGGGAATGGAAGCAGAGGAACTGTATTGTCTTAGCTTCACAATCCTAATCGTTTCCCTGTACCTTTTTTGAGCTTTGCAAACGAAAACTTTGGTCCTTATTCCTTATGTGAAATGGCTCACAACCTACTTCCATGTGGAGGTGTGAAAAGCTTGGGGTGCACTAATCGCACGGTGATACAGTGACCCTTGTTGTGCTGTGAGGTATTGAATACAACCCTTATTTATCGTTTCATCTTCATTTTTCATCTTCATTGTTGCTGTTTTTAGCCCGGCTCATGGCCCAGATACCAAAAGAAGAAGCCCAAGTAACTGCTGCTGCGACCACTAACGGACATATACCCGAGCAACCAACGGTGAAAGGAGGAGCCTTCAGCCAAGCTCAAGAGGCCGAAACTCCCTTCGGATTCGGACGGGTATGTGAATTCTATACAAATATGATTCTATGACTTTTTCTGTTGAAGGGTGCGAAGAGATGTTCAATGTATTTTCGGTATAAGCATGAAGGAAAAGGCAGAAAACTCCGAATAAAATTCGTTTTCTGTAGTCCCCTATAACTTCACTTGTTTGCTCAGGAAACTAACTTTTCAATAACCTCTAAGAATAATTTTTCTTCTTGTTGCCGAAATAGGCGTTAAATGCAGCTCTTCATCGCCAGAAACACGCTTTCCACGAACATCTTTTTTTTGGATGGGGAACAAGAAGTAATCACTAATCATTTTCTCGATTTTCTTTTCATTTTTCTCAATTTTCTTTTCGTTTTCTCAACATTGTCGCATCAGTCACTCTCGTCTTCTTTCACAAAGGATAACGGGAACAGGATTGATGAGAAGTAAATGAATTTTGTATTCATACCCTCGGAAAGTGTCGTCACCTATCAAGTGATTTAAATTCCTTTGTCGCTGCTAAATTACCTCAATACCGAGAACACCTTGTATGGCCCTCGTATCATGAAACGAACTTTAGTAATGCTTTTGTATTCTGAGTTTCTCTAGCAGTTCTCACGCGCTGCTCATGAGCACATTTTCCATCGTTCATCTTGTTCGGTCACTCTTTCTTCCTACGAATGAACAGAGCTATGAGAATGGGTTTTTGGAAAAAGTACAGGATCAACAGGGGTCCGAACTGTTCAAGGTTGACTGTGGACGCTATTATTGAATTTTCAGGGTGAAGGCTTCGATAAAGGCGCTGATGAACCTGATTGGGTCGTTAGTCGTGAACGAAGAGATGCAGATGCCACATTTGAAAGCCTCGGACCAGTTGACGGCTTTATCAGTGGTATGTGACGTAGCGTATTCTAAGAATGACAATACTTTTTCATTCTTTAATGTTTTGAAGTTCAAATGTTTGGCTGAAAACATATTTATAATCATGGGTTCTGAGTGATTTCTAGCGAAATAGTGCCTCATATCGACGATAATTCAGGGCGTGTTGCCAAGGAGCATATGGTCAAATCTAAACTGCCGAACTCAGTGCTTGGAAAGATTTGGAAATTGGCCGATGTCGACAGAGACGGGCAGTTGGATGCCGATGAATTTGCTCTTGCCAATTATCTTATCAACCTCAAGCTTGAAGGTGAGTGATTTATGCGCTATCAGTGCAGTAAAGTCAATCTGGGCCTCTGCGCGGGTTGTGACACCCACAACTCAAAAGTGTTATATTCATTCAATGGGCTGCATTTTTGATAAGGGTCGTGCAATTGGGAGTTCCACAACTTCTCTGAAATTAGCGACCCCCGGCAAAAATACATTTCTTAGTGCGGGGTAGGGGAGGGCGCCATTCGGCATGGTGAGGGCATTTTCCGGTTTCTGTCGATCACTACCGATGATTGCCATGAAACTATACAGCAGCATGGGCTTCTACAGGTCTCACTAACATGAGGCATGTTGTTTGACAGCAACTAGCAAGGGAAACTAGCTATAGTGCAATGAGGCCCTCCCCCTCCTAACCAAATTGCCAGTCGGAGTTTGCGAACAAAATGATGTATTGATGTTTTTTGAAGACTAGTGTGTTTGAACACTCGCAACGTTCCTGCAGTCGTAATGCGCTAACCGCGTGGACCCCGATCTCCATTTTCTGGCTAGAAAAGGCAGACAACGTAGCGCACGTGTGCTGTGGTGTAGCGCTCTAACTAGGTTCCCCTCCCCCCAGTTATTATATTCATATTTCCTTCTACGTTACAACAGGTCCAGTTGACAGGGTAGGGGCTCATATAACGGAGCATGACGGGTGTCACGTTCCGGCAACGCGGCGAAAGCTGTATTGCAAATGGGTAGCGGTATTCGCATCAGGATTTGAATGATGAAAATGTGACAGGACTCACCACCGCGCTCGAAACTAGGTCACCTCGCGCAGCCGTGGGTCCTGTCACCACCCAGGGGTCAGCGGTGCAGTGAAGTTTTCTTATGATGCCTGCGCCCTCTCGCGCACTCACTATCTACGTCTCTGCCTGAATCGGCAACATTCCGCCAACACTGCGTTGACAACTACGTCAATGGTCGCCAGGTCAAGATGAGGAAATTTTTGCAAAATACAACCCCCTTCCCCAAATTTCCTCCACTGGTAGGACCCCTCGCCTCTCTGTCATACTTACCATCTTACGACTATTTGCAGCTTTCTCCTTCCTACCACTTCCGAGTTTCTCACCAATTTGAAGTAAAACCCACACCCCCCTTTCTTCCCCAAATGGTAATCTCCCAACGTTAGTACGCGCGTGAAGCAGAACAATTACTTTATCGAGGGAGATTTTCCCATTCGATTGACCCCATCCAGGCTACAAAAGCGACACCTCGACGTACGACGTGCCATGACGGCCGCGACCGCATGCAAAAACGAGGAATGTCTAGTGAACTGCTTAAATTTTGCACTATTGAACTATTCCTACCCCTGTCTTCCGAAATCAGGCCGGTTTTTCACCGACTTTTCCCTACGAGGGCGGAGTCGGCTGAAAATTTGCTTGTAGAGGTAGACCTCCTGAACACGAATATCACATCCGCTGAGCGCTGCCTGGCGCCCGCGCCACAGGCGCCGGCGTCAAATACCCCAAATCACAAAATTCGTTGAAAACTTGTCCATAGGGGTACATAGACCTCCTGAACACGAATATCAAATTCGCTTGGGCCAAACCTGCCTGGCTCTCGCGCCACTGGCGCCCTGCCGAACACCTTAAATCACCAAAATCGATGAAAACTTATATAAGGGGTTATTTGACATCCTGATTACGAATATGACATTTATTCTTGGCGCTGGCGCTAATGTAGGACACTATGATCATCTGCGCTCTGCTAAGGCTGAGCCTGGTCCTGAAGGGAATCACTCCTCTCCCAGGTTCAGCCTTACCAGAACGCTAGATGGCGCTTGTCGAAAAATAAGTGGTATATTCGTGGTCAGGATATCAAACAGCCGTATTCCGCAAGTTTTTATCGATTTCGAGGAAAAAGGAGGTGGCGCGAAATGGCGCCTAGTGGCGCGAAATGGCGCCAGTGTCGGAAATAAATGCCATATTAGTGATCGAGATGTCAAGTAACCCCCTTGTACAAGTTTTCATCAAATTAGTGAGAAAAGTGGTGGCGTCATGTTGGCGCTATTGGCGCCAAATGGCGCCAGAGCCGGAAATAAATGTCATATTCGTGACCAGGACATCGGCTAGCATCCATAAGCAGAAGTTCAGCGAAAAATTTTTGACGTTTTGGGGTAGGAATAGTGCAATAGTGCCGGAAATTTTGCTTAGTCTCTGCGCGTCGCCTCATCGTGATTCTGCTGAGCGGCACTCGAGGCTGGTCCACATCTCCATAGTCGGCGCCATGATTGCTTCTGTGT